TGAAGACATTTGCCCCTTTTTTCCTCTATAGAAGATAGGTCATCTCCAGTTGTCCTGATCTATATCTTGCCACTGGACCCAGATGGCTCCAGAGGAGAGGGTGAGACTGGTGACTTTGCACAGCCCTACCTCACTTAAATCCAATTCCCTTGCAAGTCAAGACCTCACTTTCTTGATGTCATTGGTCCTCTTTGAGAAGAAAAGACAAACAACAACAATATTTTGCCAAGAATCAGAGTCAAGATGATTAGTCTATAGTTGGTGGACACTTCTCTCTTGGAAACCCCCTCCTCTTTTTTTTTTTTTTAATGAGGACATTTGCCCTTTTTTTTTCCTTCATAGAAGACGTTTCAAAAATCACTGACAAGTGGCTTAGAAATCACACCTGCCAGGTCTCAGTGCCTAGAGATGTAGTTTGGGTTTGGTGACTTGAAGGTTCTCACTTTTAAGCATGCAAGGAGGGCATACTTAAAGTTGTGCTACTTAGTGCAGGTGGGCCAGTTGGAAACCAGGCAGGGCTTCTCAGAATATGGCCCCACTCACCAGCACAAAGTCCGTTAAGTCTTTAAAACTGCACCTAGCCTTTTGGAACAGCTAGTACTAGAAAAGCATTTTTTTCTTTGTGGCTCCTACTACCAATTTTTCTGTTTTGTCCAGACTTTTAAGGCAAATTACTGCTGAGGACAAGAGGGGTGGGTGGAGCTATGGACAAAGAACAATAGACTTCTGGTCTGTAGTAGACTGTGGAATCAAGAAGACTCGAGGCCCAAGAGTGCCTCCCTTACCTGGGGGTGTGGTCAAGTTTTAAGGCAAGATTTCTCTTCCCACCCCTGAAGCCACCAAAGCCCAGTTAAATCTGGAGCTATTGTTGGTATTTAAATTAGTGCTGGCTTTATAAAAGGAAACTTCCCTTCTAAGGGTCTTTGCTATTATTTTAAGCTCCAGGCTTCCATAGAATCTCTGGGAACCTAGAGGAGACAGGTAAGGTGGCATAGACACTTGTGGCTAAGGGTATTGGAGAGTCTGGGGACAGGTGAAACACAGGGACAGGCTCTCTCCCTTCTCTATATGTTTCTCTTGGGCAATCTCATTTCCCTCCACTCTCATGATTCTTAAACCTCTCTCTATGTCTGAGCTCCTCCTCTAGCCCCTCCAACTCTGGGGATCTTTCATTCCTCTCTTCCTACCTTTCCCCCAAATGCTAGCCTTCTTGTCTCTTCTCTCGCTCTCCACCACCTCAGGCTCAAACTTCCCCTTTCACAGTTTAAATCAGCTCCTGAAATAATTCAGTTCTGCAGACTTTTGAAGGCTGAAGTGATTCCTTGCTCAAAAAAGATGACTTTGGTGGCTTTCTCCTGTTGATGGGACATTATACAAATTCCTTTGCCTAGAACTCAAGGCTCTCCAGCAATCTGGCTCTAGTTAACATTTCCCCAGTCATATTTGACTTCTCTCTTCCTCCTGACTTCTTTAACCTGAGGGGACTGTTCTTTAATCTCTCCTCCTATATCTTCAGGTTTCCCTTTCAGGCTTTGTTGTTGTTATTCAGTTATGTCTGACTCTTTGTGACCCCATTTGGGGTTTTCTTGGCAAAGATATTAGAATGGTTTGCCATTTCCTCCAGCTCAGTTTACAGATGAAAAACTGAGGCAAACAGAGTTAATGGACTTGCCTGGGGTCACACTATCTGAGGTCAGATATGAACTCTAGAAGGTTGGGTCTTCTTGACTTAAAGCCCAGCACTTTATCCACTGTGTCACCTAGCTGCCCTCCCTTTCGCTTTAGCACTAGCCCACGCCTTCCCGCCAGCCCTCCCCGAGGCCCAGCTACTAAAATCTTTCTTTCTAGGCTTGCCTCAGGTGCCAGCCTGCTTCATTCTCCCAATTGAAAGTTATTTCTTGATTCCTCTTCTATCTTTGTTCGGGCTCTTCTTTGCTGTTATTTAACTCTCCCTTGTAACAAAATGATTTGTGTACTTTTATCTAGCTTACTAATAATTATAATAGCTAGCCTTTATATTTTCACTTTCAAGATCTCATTTGATGCCCTGTGAGATAGGTGCTATTATTATCCCCATTTTACAGATGAGGACACTGGTTGAGAGAGGTTAATTGACTTGCTAGTATTAAGTATGTGAAGCTGAATTTGCAGACAGATTTATCCCCTGCAATATTTAGCTAATTCTATTAGACTAAGCTGCTTGAGGGCAGAAATTATTTTAATCCCTAATCTCATCACCCCATCAGTTTTGTTGTAGTGTGGGGTCCTAGGGAGAAGAGAATAAGCTTTTGTATAGCACCTACTATGTTCCAGGCACTTTACAAATATCTCATTTGATCCTTACAACAACCCTGCGAGGCAGGCACAATTATTTCCCCATTTTACTATTGAAGAAACTGAGGCAGATAGAGGTTTGGATCACATGGCTAATAAGTGTTAGAGGGTCTTCCCAGAGCCCTATCCAGTGCACTGCTTAGTTGTCTCTCATAGGCTATCAAAGCTTAAGACATAGAATATAGAATGTAAGAGGAGGATGGAGCCTTGGAGCATAGAGTATGGAATTCCATAGTGAAAAAAAAAAGATTAGAGACCATCTAGTGTCCAGTGGTGGGGAAGCTTGAGGCCTCAAGACCACATGTGGCCCTCTAGGTCCTCAAATTCGGCCCTTTGAATAAATCCAAACTTCACAGAACAAATCCCCTTGATAAAAGGCTATGTTCTGTAAAACTTGGATTCAGTCAAAACGCCCTGGCCCGCTTAGGTTTGAGAACCCTGTCTCCTTCTAGGGGAGGGCTGTACATCCTGATCTCTAGTTGCCTTATCTCCCAAGCTCCCGACCACAGTTTGCTTAGAAGTGGGTGCAGTGATCAAGGAGGGTCTCCAGGGAGTGCTTGGGGTGAATGTGGATCTGAGAAAAAAACTCAGGGAAAGGAGGAAGCCTCTGGGGGACGAAATGGAGGAGATCCTGCTGAGGGAAGGAGCTCCCTTTCTGATCCGCAATCTCTTTCCCCTGGAGATTACTAGCCATAAGCCTCTCGTACCCTTTTCTGGACCAGACCTCTATGCTGATTTGGACTCAAATACAGGAATCCAGTGTAACTAGATGAGGCCTGGCCTGGCTTGGATTTGAGTCCCATCGAGCCTCTTCAAGGGAGTTAGGTGGTGTGGTGGGTGGAGCTCTGGGCCTGGAGTAGAGAACAAGAAGTTCAATTCCTCCCTCTAACCCTTTTGAGCTATATGACCTTAACTTCTGTCTTCCTTACTTTTCTCAAAATGGGGGTTAATAATAGCACCCACCTCCCAGGATTGTTGTGAGGATCAAATGAAATTTTATTTGTAGAGTACTTAGTCCAGCGCCTGGTAGGTAATAGGTGCTTAATAAATGCTAGTTTTCTTTTTTATCACCTTCGGGCTCTTTGGAAAGCTTTTTAACCTCTCTACTTTCCTCATCTGTAAAATGGTAGCAATAATACTTACTCCATCTTATAGGATGGTGGATCTAGAAGGTACCTCAGAGGCCATCTAGGCTTATTTCACAGATGAGGAAACTGGTCCAGAAAGGCTGGGACTTGTCTAAGGTCACACACTAAGGTAGTGTAGTTCAGATGGAGGATTTGAACCCCAAGTGTCTGATCTCTCCACAACGATACTGCCTCTATTATTGGGCTGTGGTAGGGAATACTTCAGAGTGCCGTAGAAATGTGAATTAGGATTGACCAAGAGCATTATAGTTCTTCTTATCCTGCCCCTTTGGGTCTCTCTCATGATGTCATCTGTGAGTCCAGGGAGACTTGGGGAGGCCAAGGAGCAATACCCTTGCAGTGTGGGTCTTCTGACACAAAAAAATTCTGAACCTGGAAGCAAGAGGCATGGGTTCTAGCCCTGATTGGTGTGTGTATCCTAGAGAGATGGGAGACTAGAGAAATGTGGAGAGTAGGCATTGGATCTAAAATTACAGAGGATTTAAGTTCAAATTCTGATTTCTTTTGCTGACTTGGATGTGAGACTTGGAGCTAGTCTCTTAAGTCTGCCTTGGCCTCACTTTCCTTATTTGCAAAACAAAGGGACTGTATTAGAATCAGGGTCTAAGTGGGTCCTTGAATTTGTTTGAAAGATTTGTGACTATTTTGACATAATTGGTTTCCTTTGTAATCCTATTTTATTTTGTGCATTTAAAAACATTCTGATAAGGTTTCCCCAAATTCTCTAAGGGGTGCAAGGGGACACAAAAAAGATCTATAACAGGGGTCCTTGAGGCCCCCTATGACTTCTAGGCCTCAGGTACCCCACCCCTGATCTAGAACCTCTGGACTAGATAAGCTTAAAAATGTTTTTAATTATTATTTTTTCAACTAATAAGCATTTTTTTTTCTGCCTTGCACCCCTCAGATGGTGGAGGAGAACCTCTTGTAACAAATATGCATAATAAAGCAAAACAAATTCACACATTGTCCATGTTGGAGAAGACAATCTTTAAGGTCCTTTCTAATGATCAAATGAGGTTATGTGTGTAAAGCATTTTGAAATTTAAGTCACTCCACATAGTGAATGTTAGTAATCATTGGACCTCAATTTCCCATCTCCTAAAACAAAAGTTAATCTTTAAGCTCCAAGTCGTGATACAGGTATTGCAAGAATCCTAATTTGAATATTACACAATTCTAAGTTTCTCACGTGGGATCTGAATTTAGGGGCTGGGCCCTAGGGGAGGAGGGAGAAAGGGGGAAGAGGAAGTTGTTTTGGGGCAAAGGAAAGGCTGGAGGAGGGGCACCTCTTCCCAGAACCTTGATTCTCACTTTTTCAATTCAATTTCTTTTTTCTTAACCAGTCTGCATTCCATGAGGGCTGAAGGCAAAAATTAATAGTGTTGGGGAGGGGGTGGGCATAGAATTGCCCTTCAAACTTTGCCCCCTGAGATTGCTAGCTAACTCACTTGGTTGGATGGCCCCTCCTTGGCTGCGCAAGCCTTTCCTCTGTCAGTCCTGGTCTCCTTGGTCACTAACTTTCAGTTCCCCACTGGGGTGAAGTGGGAGGGACAGGGGCCCAGAACTGGAGCCAAAGCCATATCCTGAGCAGGGCCTCGGAAGGTCTTCTGGCCTTTTTTTCTGGAGGTAGGATGTTTTCCAATCTCTTTCCCTCCTTCTCCCCATTGGAAGTTCTGTCTAACTCTCATTTCATACCTGGGGAAGCTGAGGCCCAGAAAGCAGGAAGGATTTGCCCAAGGTTGCATAGCCAGACAGTCAGCAGCAGAGGCAAGATTAGAATTCTGTCTCCTTTCTTTCTAGGGGAGGGCTATCCATCCTAATCTCTAGTTACCTTATACCCCAAGCTCCCTACCACAGCTTGCTAGAAGTGGGTGCAGTGATCAAGGAAGGTCTGTAGGGAGTGCTTGGGGTGAATGAGGGTGGTGGTGTTGTGGAACTGAGGAAAAAATTCAGGGAAAGGAGAAAAGCTAGGTGGGATGACAGGGAGAGATCTGGCTGGGGGAAGGAGCTCCCTTTCTGATCCCCATCTATTTTTCCCCTGGAGATTACTAGTCATAAGCCTCTCTCACCCTTTTCTGGACCAGACCCCCATGCCAATTTGGAACAGTTTCCCTCAGGGAAATTGAAGCCTTTAGAACTGGGAGTGGGGATAAGGAGGAGGAAAAGCTAAAATTATACTTTTTCCAAGGGAGGCAGTGCCATGCAGAGGGGAAAAAAAAAAATTGACTCAGTTGGTCAAATTCCATTTTTGAATTGTGTGACCTTGGGGAAATCCTTTCTCCTCTTTGGACTTCAGTTTCTTTAACTGTAAAATAAATGGGTTGGACAAGATAATCTCTAAGGACCAATCTAGCTCTGGTACTGTGTGTTCTTTAAGCCTTTCCTGCTATCACATTAAACATTCTGAGGTCCCTTTTAGTTTTGAAATGGAGCGATGGCTATGTATTCAATGTGGGTCCTAGAGATGGAGTTAGAATCTAGGATAGAGGATTTCTAGCCCTGGGGTTTACCCTCTATCCCAGAGGGCAATTTTATTAGGTGTCTGTGTTAAAATTAGGCCCAAAATTCTGTTCTAAGTAATGGTTGGGGCTGAGGATAAGGGTGGGGCAGAATTCCTCTTGCTTGGGAGGAAGAGAGAGAGAGTAGGATCAAGATTTTCCTCTTCTTTCCTCCCTTCTCTCACTGGTGAGGGACACAAGATCATTTCCCCTTGATAAGGTGTCCAGAGGAGCAGAAACTTTTGGTCAAAGGTCAGAGATCTCACTTTCAGGAAGATTCAAGTATCTAGGCTTCCTGTCCCACCCCAGATTCTGCTTTCCCAGTGTTCTTTCTCCTTCCTACCCCCTCCCCCATTCAGTTTTTTTCTCTCTTAACTAATGTCCTACCCTCCCCATCTCAGGCACCCAAAACTCCTTCCCAAGCTAGGAGTTTATATTCTGGGATCTATGGACTTTAAAAAAATGTAGATGACTATTTCAAAATAACAGTTTTCCTTTGTAACCCTATGTATTTGATTTTATGCATTAAAAGGCATTATTCCGAGGAAAAGTCCATAAGCTTCACCAGATTACCAAAACGTTCTGTGACTCTAAGGTTTAAGCCTTAGCCTTAGATAGATCCTAGACCCTCCCCAGCCCCACCCTCAGTCTCCCTACCATCCTTGTGAGTATCTTTAGCCATGACTTCCTCTCCTCCTTCCATTCCCCCCTCCTCTGCTTCCTGGTTCCATCCTCCCTCAGCCTCTGACTTCCCCTTCCTCTCTAGGGCTCCAGGCCCTAGAAACCATGACTCAACCAGGATGGGGGTTGCTGTTCCTGGGCCTCCTGGCCATGGCCCATGGGCTTCGGAGAGGAAATGATCTGCTCAATGTCTGCATGGATGCTAAACACCACAAAATACAGCCTGGTCCAGAAGATGACCTTCATCTGCAGGTAACAGGCAGGGGGCAAACGTCCTGGGCCTAGGGGGACCACAGTCAGATGGCTGGTAAGTGGTCGTGCTGGGACTAATCTACATCTCAGGCAAACATTTCAGGCCCATGAAAGTTTCATAGAATTCTAGTGTCAGAACTAGGAGTGACCTTCAAACCATTGCATTCAACAAATATTGTGAAGGGCCATGAGCTTGGCACTGGGAATACTAGGGGAAGATTTGACATAGCCTGTTCAGAGCTTACCATCAAATGGAGAAAAAAGAGATATACAAATGAGTAAGTTACAAAGGTGAGGAAGATAAGGGCAGAGGGGGAAGTTCAGAGAAAGTACTATGAGAAATTTGAGTAGAAAGATAATTTAAATTTCTTTTTACATGACATTTTTTAAAATTAAATTTCATTTTTAAAAAATAAAAGTATGGTTTATCCCCACAATCCCACCATTGGAAAAACAACAAAAAGCCCAAAGCTCTTGTAAGAATTATGGGTAGTCAAGCAAAATATTCCTATATTGGCCTTGTCTAGAAAAATATGTCTTATTCTGCAGCCTGAGTCCATCATCAGTCCTCTAGAATTTGTGGTTGCTAGGTTCTAGGTGCCTGGGGCACAAAGAGAAAGCAAGATAATCCCTGCTCTCAAGACTTATGTTGATTGGTTGGTTGGTGGCTGTTCTTAGTGCATGAAGAAGACCAAAAGGACATCACTATGTTGGGGTCAAGGCACAGTGTGTCTAACTGTGGCTGGTCAGACCAATAGGAGCTCAGAAGGCTATACCATAGGTCAGGCACAGATAGTCCATGTATTCTATACAAGATACAAGAAGCATGTGTACTATTTGTAAACAAGATAGCAACAACAATAATTAAAGGAAATTCTGAAGAGGGGAAAGAACACAGGAATTTCAAGGATAGGGTGACTACCCACTGGCTTGAATTTTTCAGGCCAGCTTGGGTCAGAGTAAGTGATATCTGATGGCTCTGGCTCTGGGAGAGGCAATGTGATGTAATGGATAGGGTCCTGGCCTCACAGTCCTAAGGCTTGTGTTCACATTTCTATAGTGACATTAAATGTGCAATGTTGGGCCAGTCATTCACTCCTCTAGGTCCCCATTGCTGTGTGGAAAGCATTTGGTAAACCTTACAGTGATTTAAAAACGGGAGTCTCTGCCCAGCTCCTCAGCCCTCTGTGCCTTCCCTTCCCCCAACTCCTTCCCCTCCAGTGTAGCCCATGGAAGAAAAATGCCTGCTGTACAGCAAACACAAGCATTGCAGCCCATGAAGATGCTTCCTACCTGTACCGCTTTAACTATAACCACTGTGGAACGATGGCCCTGGCTTGCAAACGCCACTTTATCCAGGACACTTGTCTCTATGAGTGCTCCCCCAACCTAGGACCCTGGATCCGGCCGGTAGGTAACTGAGGGGGAAACAAGACCTTTGCCTTTATCTATTAAGTATCCCCTCACCACCAATATTAAGGCGGAAAGCACAGCCTCCACCCTCAGAGAGATGTGCCAGTGTTAAGAGTCTGAAAACTGATGTTCCCTCTCCCCAACCAAGGTGTCCTCAAGTTGGCGTAGGGAACGGATGCTAAATGTTCCCCTCTGCAAGGAGGACTGTAACCAGTGGTGGGAAGACTGCCGAACCTCATATACCTGCAAAGAGAACTGGCAAAAGGGTTGGAATTGGACTTCAGGTGAGGCTCAGGCTCCTCCTGAGAGGCTAGGGGGAGAAAAGGCCAGGGGTAAAGGGGAAGAGAGGAGGGAGCCAAGGGTAGGAGAGTAGAGACTGTACTTTCCTGCCTGTGCAGAGGGGAGCTGTGGGGTGGGCTATGGCTGTGGTATACAATGTCTTTTTGATGGATTGGTTAGTTCTGATTTTTTTGCTAATAATCTATGGCTCTCTGGATGAGGGAGAAATGTTGGAGGAGTTTTGGGAGGAAGGAGATTTGGGGAAATGTGGTTGATGTAAAAAACAAGATGAAGTGGAGGGTTAAAGGTATAGGAACCTGGGGAAAAGCTTGAGACTCAGGTTAGGGGCTGGGATTTGTCATTAAGTATAGGAACTTCAGTTTTGATTAGAGATGTAGGAAAGTGGGGATCTAGGGGAAGGACCAGAGGCTAGAGAGATGGCTGGCTGCAATTGGATTTGAATTCAATCCATCCGAATTCAGGGGCTGAGGGCATAGGATGTGATAGCTGGGGTGGGAGAAGCTCTGTAGACATTGAAGAGCTAAGGATTTGGGGCTCAGGATGAGGGCTAGGATCCAGAGTTGGTCATGAGGAGAAGGGAGCAGGGGAAGCCTGAGCTGGGGTGGAAAGCTGGTGGGGAGGTGGAATCAGGGTTATGGGGAACCAGGCTGATATTCTTTTTTTCCATTCCATAGGGATTAACAAGTGCCCAGTTGAGGCTGCCTGCCACCCTTTCTCATTTTACTTCCCAACACCAGCCTCCTTATGTGAGAACATTTGGGGTCACTCTTATAATGCAAGCTCTTTTGGCAGGGGCAGTGGCAAATGTATCCAGATGTGGTTTGACCCAGCTCGGGGAAACCCCAATGAAGCCGTGGCTAAATACTATGCTTCTGCCTCTGCCCCAGGCATCTTCAGTTGCGGGGCCAGTTTCCCCTTCTTGGCTTTGACACTACTGTTGCTTCTCTGGGGTTAATCCTCATCAGGCATGAAATCTAACCCATTTACATGCAAAACCATAGCCAAGATGTGCTCTGTGTCTGAGATCCCAGGACCCCAGCTTCCTGCCTGACACAGCCTGGCTGTCCTGAAACCCTGGCTTCCCAATCTGGATTCTTCCCCCTCAAATCTGATCTGTCCACTTGGAAACCTACAACCCCACCACATTTCTCATTCTCCACCCCACTACTGAGGGGTAGTTCAGGGAGAGAGTGCCTTCCTTTCTCCCATTTTTAAGTAGCTCCAACTCCAGTGTCCTACCTCTTCCTCTGCATAGCAAAATCCACCCCCCACCCCCACCCCTTCTCTTCTTTAGGGGAAATTAGAAATTATTTCTACCCCCTTTAAAGTAAAACCCTCCTTGCTCCTTTCAAGTAAGTATCATTTTGTTGATTATATTTGTATCCTTTGTACCTGTTCTATATATAAGTAGGTGATTAATAAATACTGATTGATCAAAAAAAAAATCCCTTTTCTTTTCCTTCCCAGTTCTTCGCTATGCAATAGAATTTTTCCTTATTCTGTTCAGTCGTTTCAGTTATATCTGACTCTTCAAAACCCCATTTGGGTTTTCTTGGCAAAGATGCTGCCATTTCCTTCTCCAGCTCATTTTATGTTTGAAGAAACTGAGGCAGTTGGATTTAAGTGACTTGACACAGTAAGTTTCTGAGGCTGGATTTGAACTGAGGTGTTCCTGATTCCAGGCCTGATGTCCAAGATATTCACTGAGCCACCTAGCTGCCCCTTTGGCACTCTACCCTAGCCTGTTTTGCCTGAAGCTCCACTACTGAAAGATCTCTTCTTTTGAGTAAGGCCTTGATGATCCCTTGGCAACTTTGCAATTACCCTAGGGAGATGAGGTATATTTATTGATCATCAACTCTGCTCATCACTACCAGGCAATAAGAGAGAATAAAGAAGTAGGGGTGAAAAAATTAAAGAAGGATCTTGACTTCTAAGTCAAAATCCCCCCCCCCCCCAAGTCAGCTACTGGGCAGTGACTGGGGCAAGCCAAAGCTAGGGTTTACAAAGGTGACCTTGAAGTGATCTCAGCCTCTCCTTGTTTCTTGGCATTCTGGGCCCCTAGCAAATTATAAAGTATACACTGAAGGAAGAGACCTATTTTATAGATGCAGAGTGGCATGGAGGAAAGAACAATGGATTTAGGGACAGAGTTCAACCAGTTTTCATATCAGTAAGAAGAAAGGATTGGAATAGATTGCTTCGAAGTTGCATTCTAATTGTAAATCGATGATTGCCTTGGGAAAGATGGGACCAGAGAGGTGGAGATTAGACATACCATGTCTTTTGGAGTTCCCCAATCCAGAGGGGCCTGGCACACCCGAGGATCTGCTTAAACCAGATTAAAATATAACTAGGAAATATTTAACAGAATAAAAATAAAATAAAACATTAACATTTTAAAACTTAACATATGCCCTGTAGGGATCCTTATATACAGATTAAGAGCCTATTTAAGCGATTTGTTCACTTGGGTACCACAGCCAGTAGGGACTTTATACTAACTGTCAACTCTGAAAAATAAAATAAAAGCAGAGATTACAGAGGTTATAAGCAAAAACCTTTCTTTATTCTGTTGGAGGAGGGAAATAGATAGGGTTGCCAGTGTGTAGGACTGAGGAGACCCAAGGCAGCAAGTCTAAGCCTTGATACATATAGTTGTGGCCAGACAGAACCAAGTAGTGAGGTATAGCCATATCAGGGAGGGTTAACAGCAACAATGAGTCAAGTTTGTGTAGTGAAAAAAAGTCCGTAGCAGGGCTTCATGACTTGAATATAGTTCTCGCAGGTGCTTTGTCTAAGCTCATTGACTACCTGGGCCTGGCTTGAGCCAATTCTGTGATTTAGCTGCAGCAGAGTTCATCTAGATGATGGGCACAAAGGATTGTTGTTAATGCTCAGGGTTCAGTTTGCTGGGCTTTAGCTCTGGAAAAGAAGGAAAATAGTAAAAAGAGTAAATAATAATAGTAAAAAGAGGGGTGGTCCTGGCATGGGCATTCTGACATTTCCCCTTTTTGGCCAAAGGGGGGCGAGTCTAAAAGAACCTCTCACTCTGGCCAAGAAAGGAGAGGCAGGTTTGAGCCAATATGCCACGAGAAGCCAACTGGGCCAGGAGGAGATGAGTTGAGGGACAACTGAGAGCTTAGGTTGGTGAGCTTAGGGGTTAAGGTGAATAACCTAACAATTTGTTAGCCCCTCCACCTTAGCAATGATGGAGGATAGATAAAGAATGGTATTTCCATCCCAGGAGTTTAGTTACTTGAGTGAACCTATCAGGGAAGTGCATATTAGGTATCTTTGAGAAACTCCCAATAGGGCAAAGAGCTCAAGCAGATAAAGCAATAGGTCTTGTTTAGCCATTGTCTATTACAAGTAGAAAAAAGGAGGGGGAAGCCAAGAATGTAGAAGGAGAAAATGCCAACACATTCTCAAATCATGGCCTTAGTGGTTGGACACATAAGAAAAGGGAAGAGGAAAAAACTAAGATTCAGTCCTTGCCTGGAATGTTGGGACAGCTGTCTCATCTGGATATCTGTACCAGAAGACCTCTGAGGTCCCTGGGCAATTTTGTCATCCACTCAAGAGTTGGGGCTTTCTTGGGATGATGCAGGAGTTCACACCCACACATCTAGCAGTTGTGGGAGTAGTCAGAAGGACCTGGTAGGGGCCCTTAGATTGGAATGGTGGAGTGAACAAGTGCAATTTCCTGAATTCAGAAAAGGAGGTGTGACACTCCCCAGATGTCTGTAACGAGAAAACGTCGCTGATTGATCAGTATGGGTCCAGTTTTCAGATAATATATATGGGTTGCTTGAGATGTACAATTGTTAGAAAAGTCCTTGTATTAATCTTTGGATCTGAGTTTCTGGTCAGCATAACCTAGGTCCTTGGTTAAGGGTCTTCAAACAGCCAGGAGAGAACAGTCACAGATCAAATTACTTAGAGGGCTCACAATGAACCTCACTCACCTCACTGCCTGATTTTTTGTCTAGCCACAACTAAATATATCCAGGCTTAGCCTCAAAGCCTTGGGTCTCCTCCATCCTAGAGCAGACACCAGCACTTATGTCTAGTTTCCCTCCTCCAACAGAATAAAGGAAGATTTTGGCTTATAACCTCTGTGTGCTCTTTGGTTTTATTTTATTTTATTTTTCAGAGTTGATAGTTGGTACAAAGCTTTTGCTATAACTTCTGTGGCTCTTTGGTTTACTTTATTTTTCAGAGTTAACAGTTGGTGTACCTCTCTGAGCTTTTTGGTGTTTTCAGAGGTAATGGTGCATAACCTCCGTGGCTCTCATAATTTATTTTCAGAGTTTGACAGGTTATGTCTTGATATCTACCATATTAGAAATGAAAAAATTTTAAAAATGTTTTCTAATTTAGTTAAGTCTCATCCATTAGATGTTGACACAAATAACATTTTAATGAAAAATGTTATCCAAGAAATTAGAAGTTATTTTGCATATTTTTGCAAATCTTTTAATGTCTGACTTAATAGGAGACAGCTGGATTTCCATCTTGTACAATCAGTTTGTTGAAATATGTGAAGAAAATTCGGTCTCACGAAGACAATGTGATTGGAAAAGGGAGGAGTATTTTAGTAGTAGTATCTCAGTATTATGAAAATAGTTTTGACCTGAAGGACTCCTTGAAAAAGTCTCTGGTTTCTCTAACCACGCTTAGAAAAACACTGATTTAGTCCAAATCCAACACTTAATATATGAGGAAACTAAGAGGGAGGAAGTCATACAAGAAGTAAGAAGCAGCGCTTAGGATTTGAACCTAGGAAACCAGGTCTCCTGCCTTCCCTAAGCATCTCCGGCTCTTAAGCCCTCCTCCAGTTAAAGATGGATAGTCTGGGTCCTGAGGTGCAGCCCTAATGCTCAGTTTCCTAATTTCCAAGTGAAAATCCTTTGAAAACAAAGTGGTTGTGCCGGGAGGTGAGGGGGTGGGGCAGGGGGGAAAGGGTGGGTAGGAGTATAAAAGTAGGACAGGATTTAATAAGTTATGCAGCTGTCCCCTCTGACTCTAGGGTACACCAAGGTGTGTCGGGAGGGGGTTGGGGAGGAGATAGGGGGTGGCTTCACAACTCCCTACTTTTATCCAGCGCTAGGAGACGTTGTGGGGGCCGGGCCAGGAAGTTACCTCCTTATGGACTGGGCCTCGGGCAAGACATTTTTGGCCAGATCTGCCCGCAACTGCTCTGGCCCAGTGTCTTGGATGCAGAAAACAGACTTGAACGGATTGGGGGTGGGGGGTTGGGGACAAAGGAAGCGACTACAGAGAGGACAGGATGGGAGCGTTGGGGAGGGCTAAAGAAGGTAGGAGGGAGACAAGGGGCGACGGAGGGAGCGAGGGAAGGATGGGACGAGTATGACGGAAGAAAAGGGTGAGCAGAGATGGGGAAGTGGGAGGGATGGAGTAGGAAGGGGAGTATGGAGAAGGACGATAGCTGGTATGAGAAAGCTTGGTTTCCCGGGCTCTGGACTGACTCCACAAGGAGGCGGGAGGGAAGCAGGAGGCGGGGAGAGGCAGAGCAGAGGGGCGGGTCGGAAGGCTGCGGGTCTGGGACCTGGGGCGGAGGAGGGCTGGCTGACCAACTTAAGGCGACTGGCAGCCCTGGCCTGGCCCTACGTTCCCGGGGGAAGAGGGTGTCTGAGTGTGTTCCCAGGTGGGCTAAGCGCTCTCTGCGCCCAGGCAAGCCCTCCTAGGGAGAGTGGGGTTGGTTTAAGAGACTTTTGCCCTTTTGGGGAAGAGGAAGGAGTTTTCCTTAACTGTGTCCCAAGGCCTCGGGGGCTCCGGGTGGCGGCGGAAGAGAACTTGGAAAGTGGGGGGAGGGAGAGGGGGAAGGAGTCGGGGAGGGAGTGGGGGAGGGGAGAGACTCCGCTTTCTGCGGGGTCTGGGCATCCCGAGAGGAAGCTGCGCTGGGGCTTATTGGGGGTGTTGTGTTTGGGGGTTTCGCGGCTGTATCCCTAGGCATGGCAGGGGCTGGTGGCCTGGATCCCTGTGTTTGGGTTAACGCTAAAGGGGGTTTGGTGCTCCAGTGGTCTTGGGATGTACGGGAGGCTGCGGGATGTGTTGGAAAGTCCATGAACAGTGTTTAGGGGTTCCCCGCAGTAGGGGAACCCGC